GCCATTTCTCCAGCCCCTCTTTCATATTTTTAATGTGGGTACTTAGAGCCATAAACTTCCCTTTTAGAACTGTTTAATAAGTGTCCCAGAGATTGTTGTTGTTGTATTGTCCTTTTTATTTAATTCCAGGAATACTTTTTTTTTTCTTTCTTAATTTCTCCTTTGGCCCACACATCATTCAGGAGTGTGTTGTTCAGTGTCCATGAGTTTATGTAGTTACTAGGGTGTCTTCTATTGTTGATTTTTAAGCTTTATTGCATTGTGCTCTGATAGAATGCATGGAATCATTTCAATTTTTTTGTATTTGTTGAGGTTTGTTTTCTACCCAAGTATGTAGTCAATTTTTGAGATAGTTCCATGGGCTGCTGAATAAAGTGTATTCAATGGTGTATTGAAGTCCCCTACTGTTACTGAGTTGGGGTTAATCTGTGTATTAAAGTCCTGTATTTTTGAAGCATAAATGTTCATGGTTGTAGTATCTTCTTGGTTAATTGTTCCTTTGATCAGAATGATGTTACCCTGTTTATCTCTTCTGATTAGTTTCACTTTGAAGCTCTATTTTGTCAGATATTAGAATTGCAACCCCTGCCATTTGTTTGGAATATTCTTTTCCATCCTTTCATCTTTAGGACATGCCTGTCACTGAAGGTGAGATGGGTTTCTTGCATACAACAAAAGGATGGATTTTGTTCTTAATCCATTCAACTAGCTTGATTCTTTTGACTGTGGTGTTCTGTCCATTGATTTTTAAAATTATTAATTGAAAGATGTGTATTGGTTGCTATCATTTTGATTACTGTTTACTTTCTTTGTCTAATTTCATGTTTCCACAATTATGTCTTCACTTAGTTTCTTTCTGTGGCCCCTGGGGTAGAGCTCTTTTCTCCACTCTTTGTATTACTTCAGGCATTCTTTTAAGGGCAGATTTTGTGGACATACATTCTTTTAGCCTGTTTGTGTTCTGGAAGATTTTTCTTTCCCCTTCAACTATAATAGACATTTTTGCTGGGTATAGTATCCTGGATTGGCATCTATGGTCATTTTGAACTGAGAAATCTTTGGTCCAGGCTTGTCTGGCTTTCATAGTATTCGTTGATAAGTCAGCTGTAATTCTGATGCGTTTTCTTTTATATGTGAGTTTTTGTTTTTCTTTTGCAGCTTTCAGTATTCTCTTTTTGTTATGAACACTTATTGTTTTTACTATGATATGCCGTGGAGAGTTTCCTTTCTGGTCCTATTTGGTATTCTATGTGCTGCTTTATATATATATATAGTTTTGTTTTATGTATATGAGCATATTGCCTGCATGTATGTCATTATAACTGTGTCATGCAAAGACTGCAGTGGCCAGAAGAGGACTTCTGATCCCCTGGAACCGAATTTCGGACAGTTGTTAGCTGCCATGTCGTGTCTGGAATCCAACCTGGGTCTTCTGGAAGAACAGCAAGTGTTCTTAACTGATGAGCCATCTCCCTAGCCCCTGCATCTTGTATTTGTATGGGGATGTCTTTCCTTAATTTTGGGAAATTCTTTTCTACAATCCTGTTTAAGATCTAGTTGATATGATTAACCTTAAATTTTTCTCCTTTATGTCTGTGATGCTTAGATTTGGTCTTTTCATGGTGTCCCACATTTCCTGCATATTCCATTCCTGTGTTTTAAAATTTTCATTAATTGTTTGTGTGTATTTTAAATTCATTGAATTCCTTGATCATGTTTTTTTATTGTTCTTTTAAATTCTGTGTCCTGGGTTATCTAAGGGGTTCTCCTTGTAGAACTCTTTTATAGGACTGGTGGAGTTTTGTGGAAACATACTGTTTTGATTTTCCATATTATATTTTCCCATTGTGATTTTGGCATTTGGATTTCTTTTGTTGTTTGTGATTCAGGTTTGAAACTCAAGTCTTTGTTGAGTTGAAGTCTGTTTCTGTTTGTATTATTGCTATGCATTGGTTGTTTTCTTATTGGGTATGTAAAACTGGTTGGTCTAGGTTCCAGGTTCTCTCAGAATTTATATTGGAGGGAACTGAAGGCTTCAGATCAGCTACTCAGGAGCTCTTATAGAGGTGCAAGTCAGGCTCCAGTAAGGTACACTCAGGCTTCCTTCTAAAGTCTGGACCCCTACTAGTGGGCTCTCATACAATTTGGGAGGAGGCAGGATTTTGGCTCTCTCAGGCAATCTGCCAAGCTTTCAGCTCCTATAGCAGAGACATCTAGCCCTGGCAAAGTGGAAGGGGCCTCTCGTGGTCTGGATTAGGGGGTTGGGCATGGAGTGAGTTGGGGAAGCTCACCACCATGCTGAGGTGAGATCCAGGCACTCTCGAGTCAGCTAAAGTCTCAGCCCTGACCCTCCTGTAGGGCAGAGAAGTCTAGTCCTGGAGAAGTGGGAGGGGCCTCACATTGTCCCTTTAGAGGGTTGGCAACAGTGTGATTGGGTAAGCTCACCACCATGGAGAGACTGGATCCAGGCACTCAGAGGGTCTGCTAAGGTCTCTGCCCCTACGGCAGTGCAGAGAGGTCTTAGCCCTGTGGCAAAGTGGTAGGGGCCTCAAGTGGTCCCAGTTAGGAGTTGGGCACAGCAGGATTGGGGAAGCTCACAACTACTTAGAGGCCAGATCCAGGCACTCAGGTGGTCTGCTAAGGTCTCAGCCTCTACCCTATGTAGAGCAGAGAGGTCCAGCCCTGGCAAAGTAGGAGGGACCTCACGTGGTCCTGATAAGGGGGTTGGGCACAGTGGGACTGGGGAAGCTCAAGACCACTTGGAGGCCAGATCCAGGCACTCAGGTGGTCTGCTAAGGTCTCAGTCTATTTCATATTTTTATCAAATAAGTATTTTTTATGGATTTCTTCTTTCTTTTGCCATCTATGTTACTAAGTATATCAGTCACAGTTACTTTAATATCTGTGTCTGAAATTTCATTACATGAATCTCCTATGGATCTATTTTTGTCTTGTCCTTTTTCCTGAGGTAACACATAACTTTGACCTCAAACTCACTGTGTAGCTGATGATGATGTTAAACACCTTATATTAGTTACTTTTCTGTTGCTATGATAGAAACACTGACCAAAGCAACTTATAAAAGTGTTTATTTGAGCTTATGGTTCCAGGGGAATTACAGTCCGTCATCGTGGCCAGAGGTGACTGGAACAGAAGCGGAAGCTAGGCTCTACATCTTCAAGCAGGCACAGGAAGGAAGAGAGTGACTTGAGATCTGGCAAGCCTTAAGAACTCTCTATGCCCATCCCCAGTGACGTGTTTCCATACCTTTTAAGACCACCCAAAACAGCGCCACCAACTGGGGAGACAATGTCCAAATACTTGGAGCCTGTGGGGGAACATACTCATTCAAACCACCACACCCCTCCTCCTCCTGTCTCTACCTCCTTAAGTGCTAGAATTTTGAGCATGTCTCTTTTTTCCTAGTAGTTTTCAATCATCAGATCCTATTTACTGTTGTTCCTAATAAGTTTTGATAAAAATCTGAACGTTATGTAGGAAAACTTGAGATAATTGGTGGCTTTGTCTCAGTCAACTATATCCTATAGGCCAAATCTGGCTTATCACCTGATTTTCTGTTTATTTAGGGTTTTCTGGCCTGGCCTTGAGGTAGGAATGTTTTCTATATCTTTAAATAGTTAAAGAGTAACCTAAAGAATATTTGTGGTACATGAAACATAAAATTCAAATGAGTGGCTATAAGAAATTTTATCAATACACAGTGACATTTGTCTATACACATTATGTGGTTACAGGCAGGTCCTTAAGGAATTGGGTAGATCACCATTCTGAGTTTGGTTGAATCAAAGTTCTTGAGGGCTAGTCAATTTCTAGCTTACCTGTACTCACTTAAAAAAAATACTTATTATTTTTTATTTTAAACTAAAAATGTAATGTATGCATCCAGGCTTCTATTCCTTGATGAGCTTACAATTACAGTGCTGATTCAACTCCCTTGACACTTTCTCCCTAAGGTTTTAGGCCTTCTAAATCCTTGCTGCCCTTCTAAATACTTTCTGTCTCAGAGAGGCCCCTAAACATAGTGCTCTGTGCGCACATGTGTGTGTGTGTGTGTGTGTGTGTGTGTGTGTGTGTGTGTGTGTGTGTGTGTGTATCTTTTCCAGTATTTCCAGTCAATAGGAAAAATGAGCAAAAAACTAGACCAACAAGTTGTGAAACTAGAAGTTCAAGATGATCACATTTCTAAATTTCTCCAGTGGCTATCCATCTCATTTATGACAAAGCAAGTCCTTAGAGTTATCTTTTAGACCCTCTATGATTTAGAGTTATCTTTAGACCCTCTATGATCTGACTGACTACATGACTGAGAGTAAGACATAAATGGGTCAGAACCCAGGATAGAAAAACTCAGGTCAATGTTGCTATCACTATGCCTCACATTAACAAGCATATGACATGAAATGCATGCAGAGAAAGTCACACTTTGACAATGTTTCATTTTCATTAGTTTTTAAATTGAGATGTATTACTAATGAAAGCATGCATCCTTGTATTTGCTTCAAAGAGTTTGGTCAAACATGTGGCAGCTCACTTATGCCACAGAACATTTCTACTACTATAGAAATTTCCCTTGCCTCTTCTAGGTAATCTGCCCTTCAGAGTTATAACCTATCACTGTTTCTTTCCCCATATTAACTTTTTAGATTAGTTGCATCACTACCATTCTGGTCACAATTTTGCCATGAATCTTTAGATGCTATTACTATATTAATATATTTTATATAATAAATTAATATATTTTCATGTCAAAATTTTACTTCTCTGGATCCCAGATTTTTTTTTAAAGCCAAGGTCTCATTCAGTAGTCCAGCCTGACTCACAGCAGTCTGCCTGCGTCAGTCTCCTGAGTACTGGGACTACAGGCATGGACCCAATACCAGATTCTCAATTACTTTTTAAGATCAGGAGTGCTTGATAATACACTGTTCTAGTTCATAGCTTCTTTGATGAATAGAAGATACGCTGAACAAAAACTCTTAGAATCCACTTTTATATTTCTATTACAAATCATATCATCTCAATCGTTAATAATTTTGAAAATGTTCAGGGGAGCAGTATTTTCAGCTTACAGATGAGAAAGAGTAATCAAGCAGATATACAGAATCCCTTTCCCATTAATAGTTGGTGCCAGGATTAGATTTTTCTTTTGCTTAATCCATTATCCTTGGTTTTATACACACAAGGAAATTTCATGTATTCCAGAACTCAAGTTCCTTATTTCTTCTCAGAAAATTCATATTTTATCCATTCCTTCCATCCTCCAGCATAGTGTTGAACACTGAAAACATACATAAAATAGTGTTATGTTTCCCCTTTTTTTTAAATAACAAAAGATTGACAGGAACTGAGATAAACTTACAATAGCTACTCATCATACCATTTAGATTCTATGCCTCTTTAGAAAATTGTTGCTCTTGAATAGGATGGAAAGATACAGGCTCTTGATCTCTGTATACTGCCTTCAGTAAGTGGTACTAGGGATTGAACCCTGGGCCTTGTGCATGCCAACCACATGTCTACTACTGAAGTATATCACCAGCCCCAAGAAATGCTGAGATTAAAAGAGAGTTGTTTATGGGGCTGGAGAGATGGCTCAGTGGTTATGAGCATTGACTGCTCTTGTAGAGGACCCTGGTTTGATTCCCAGCACCCACATGGCTGCTACAAACCGTCCTTAACTCCAGTTCCAGGGGAATCCGAAGTCCTCTTCTGACCTCTGAGGCATTGCATGACATGGGTGTACTCACATACATACAGGCAATACACTCATACACATAAAATAAAAATAATAAATATTTTTTAAAAAAGAGAGTTGTTTATTTTTACTTTTGCCATGCTGGGGATTAAACCCAGGGCTTCACACATACTAAGCAAATTACTCTTAACACTGAACTATACCCAGCACCTGGATGTCATTTCATACTGTAGTAAACATTGTCCAGTCTAGCGTTTCTTTCATCTACCCACCTGTTAAAGCCCAGTGATACTGCTGTGTCCATAGCCTTCTTGCTTCTCACTCCAGCTAAACAAGAAAACACTAGGCTGTCAGATTTGGATGGCTTTACTTCATGGTACTTCTCTTTGAAGTCTCTTGGGTTCATCTGTAGAGCTTCGCCTAGCTCATCCACTGGGAGAAAATGTTAAGGCATTTGATTAAATTTTGTTACAATAAGTTATTGACTATATAAAGAGTCAGTTTAAGATACATGTCACTTACATGGTATATTGATAGAGCCAGAGATTTTTCCATATTCAAGAATTTCCCATGAATCTCTAACATCAATTAACATAACTTTTTTGGAATTCAACAGGTTTTTGAGTTCCCTATAAGTGACATCCTTGGGAAAAATAGTACAACAGTTTTGGCAGCTTCCCCATATTGACTTCAAACCTGAAAAAAAAAACCCAAAACAAAACAATTTAGGCAACTTTAAAGTGCCATTGCTAACAACAGCTATAAATAAGTTATAGTTAGGGCTAGAGAGATGGCTCAGCAGTTAGCTACTTTTGTAGACAACCTGGGTCTGGTTTCCAGCACCCAGATGGTGGCTAACAACTGTGTCCAAAACTCCAGTTCCAGAGTCTGGAACTCCTCTTCTGACATCCATGGGCATTGCACGACATGTGTTCACTTACATATATGCAGGCACGACATGGGTTCACTTACACCTATGTAGGCAATACACTCAATACACAAAATAAAAAAATAAAATATAGTTAGATGACTGGTTCCATTTGTCTAATTATGGTTCACTTTTTTAATTTATAAACTATACTTGCACATTCTGTTCCTGGTACCTGATTTCTAAGTACTGGATAGTTTCTGGGGATGGTAGATGATTCCTTTGTTCTAATGAGATGACTTAGATAGCTTTAGGATAGGGCTGGTCACCAGAAAGACCAAGCCATGAAAAGAGCTTGGAACTTGTCAACCACCATCCTCCATGCAGAGGAAAGAGTTGGGGAGATTTAGTTAATAATCAATGGTGCTTACATTATTAGGTCTCCATTAAAATCCCTCAACTATGAAGTCTGGAGATCTGGTGAGTTAACAGATCCACAAGGATGGAAGCACCTGCACTCAGTACTTCTAGATTTCATACCATGTGCCTCTTGACCAGATTATCCACCTGCATTCTTTCGTGTGTTTTTTGAGGCAGGGTCTCACTCTGGAGCCCTGGCTGGCCTGGAATTCACTATGTTGACCAGGCTGGCCTCTGTCTCTCCAGTGCTGGGATTAAAGGCGTGCACCACCATACCCACCTTCCCACCTGTATTCCTTATTAAATTATTTTAAATAAACTGACAAAGGTGCTTACCTGAGTTGTGTTACCAAACTACTGAGGTGGGAGGTCATGGGCATCTTGTTTATAGTCAGTTGGTCAGAAATAAAGGAGGCCTTGACTTGGAATTGGTGTCTTAAGTAAGAACAGTCTTGTGGGAAAGCCCTTAACTTGTGGAATCTTCAGTAACTCTGGGTAGTTGGTTCAGAATTGTAGGACATTCATGTGGAGACATATGCCTTTAATCGCAGCACTTGGGAGGCAGAGGCAGGTGGTTCTTTGTTGAGTTCAAGGCCAGCCTGATCTACATATAAAGTTCTCGGCCAGTCAGGCCTCCAGAGTGAGGCTCACTCTCTCTCTCTCTCTCTCTCTCTCTCTCTCTCTCTCTCTCCATATATATATATATAAATTAAAATAAAATAAAATAAATAATCATTTGGTACCCACAGAGATTTAGCTTGGTATAGAAAACCATACATTTGGTTTCAGAAGTGCTATGCCTCTGGGGAGTTAACTCAGTAGTGGAACTGCTTGCTAAGGTCTCAGGTTCAATCCCAGCACAACAAAGAAGAAAAAAAGTGTGAGTAGAGTATGTACTGGGTAGTTCTAGTGTCAACTTGACACACTTGGGTTGAGGGAGCCTCAACTGGGGAATTGCCTCCATAGGACTGGCCTATGGCCATGTCTGTGGGGCCTCTTCTTGATGTGGGAGGGCCCAGTCCACTGTGGGTGGTGCCACCCCTGGGCCGGTGGGCCTGTGTTGTGTAAGAAAGCAGGCTGAGCAGGGACCAGGAGAGCAAGCTAGTAAGCAGCATTCCTCCTTGGCCTGTGTTCCAGCTCCTGCCTCCAGGCTCCTGCCGAGTTTCTGTCTTGAGTCCCTGATGAACTGTAACCCGGGAGATATAAGGCAAATAAACCATTTCCTCCCCAGAGTGTTTTGTCACAGAAACGGTGAATCAAACCAGAATAGAGTGCATTAAAAAAAAAAAAAAAAAAAAAAAAACAGCAACCCACACACACCCATATTAGTACTTAGTGGCACTGTTTTCCATCTCTTTTTAAATAATTGGATAGTGTGATACTGAATAATAATAATTCATAAAAAATCCTTAGTTCATAATAGAAGGGTACTGTACTGGAAGGGTAGAGTCCTGGAAGAAGAGATGATCTTGATATCAGAATTCCAATAGGTAAGTGGAAACAGAATGCTAGAAATAGAAACTTACTGGATGACACTTGAGTGATAATTGTTACAGCTTAAGAGAACCGATAAAAACTAGATTTAGTGGGGTGGGTGGGAAATGAAGTATTTCTTGATGAGATTTGATTACAAAGAGAGAAAACTTCAACATTTACTCAAAGATCACTGCAATAAGGCATCATCCCAGCATTAGTTCCAGAACTTCCTGGTACCACGCATGAAAAGAGCCAGAAAAACATTCCTGGAATCCAATTAGAAAGAACCCTACTGACAATGATATTGTGAATTAATTGGCAAAGATATCCAGTAAAAATGTAAGGCATTTTGCACAGTAGGCAGAATGTGTTCATTAACACATGGGTAAGGTGAATAAATGATGGTAAGTTAAATCCATACACAAATGGACAGATAATGCTTGACTTCATTTATATGAAATATCTAGACTAGGCAAATTCAGAAACAGATTAGAGACTATGAAGAGTTGGGGATTTGCTGTTTAATGGGTACAGAGTTTAGGATGATGAAAAAAAATTGGAAATAGAAAGTAGTGGCAACATAACATTGAGAATGTAATACCACTCAACTATACACTCATAGTCAAAATGGCAAATTCGTTTGTGTTAATAGAACAAATTTAAAAAATAAAAATATGCATTTTTCCACTTATTTCAATTTTTGAAAAATGCGTTTACTTTTATCTTCAAGATTATATCTTTCTTTTAAAGTTTTGGGGCTGGGAAAATGGCTCGGCACCGTTAAGAGCACTTACTACTCTTGCAGAGGACCCAAGTTTAAGTTCTCAGCACCCACATGGTGACCCACACCTGTCTGTTACTCTGGTTCCAGGAATCCAGCACCCTCTTCTGGCCTCAGACAGCACCAGGCACATATATGGTGCACATACGTGTAGGCAAAACACACATAAAAATAAATCTTAAAAAAAATTGTGTTTTGTGCACATGATGTCTGTTGGGGGCACACATGTCACAGTGCACATGTCAGAGTGCACATGTCAGAGGACAACTTGGTTGAAGAAGTCAGTTCTTCCTTTTACCTGAGATCTAGGAAGAAAACTTGGGTTGCCAGGCTTGCACTGAGTTTACCCACAGAGCCATCTTGACAGCCCTAAGATTAGATTTTTTTTTTTTTTTTTTTGAGGCTGGGTCTCCTTGCCCTGTAGCCCCAGCTGACCTAGACCCTGACTAGGGTGGGTGGCCTCCATCTTATAGAACTCTCCCTGCCTCTGCCTCTCAAGTGCTATGCCAGCTCCTAAGAATAGATTTTTTTTTAAATTTATTTTTATTTTATTTTAATTTTTTGGTCTTTTTTTTGAGACAGGGTTTCTCCAGTGGCCCCAGCTGGCCTGGAACTCACTGTGTAGACCAGGCTGGCCTCGAACTCACAGAAAGATGCCTGCTTCTGCCTCCCGAGTGCTGGGATTAAAGACGTGTGCCACCATGCTTGCCCATTTATTTTTATTTTTAAAAATTATGTATCTGTAGGTCTGTGAGTGTAGTGCCCAAGGAGACCAGAAGAGGGTGTCAAGAGCCCCCCAACCCCTCCCCGGAGCTGGAGTTAAAAGCATTTGTGAGCTGCCTCAAGTGTATGCTGAGAACTAAACTCGGGTCCTCTGCAAGAATAGTATGCACTCTTAACCATCTCTCCATCCCCAAGATTAGATTTTTCAAAATCTGGAATCAACCCATTTCAATTAAAATCAGCAGGCTGAATTCACAATTTTTCTATTTCTGGTGATTAGGAACTGGAAAATTATGTCATTTCATAAATTAAGTTTGATCCTAGTAATATTTGTCAACACTGGAAAACAATTACAGCAAGTACAACCTGTGAAACTGGATCAGTTTAACTTTCCATAATTCAGCTATACTCAGTTGTAAGGTAGGGGTGGAGGAAATAACGAAGAGTGTATTTCTTGCTTTTCTATTCAGTGATCAAAAGCCTGAAGCAGCCGTGTTCCCTTGAGTCTCTCCCCAAGCCTCTCAGCAGTATGCGTTTGCAGTCCAGGAAAGCTGTAGATGTTTGTACACCATATCCTCTACTTGTAAGATGACCACTTGATCTGGTGTTCAACCAAACACACATTCATTAATTCCTACACTGAATTAAAATGGCTAGTTGAAATTTATTAAGAGATGATGTGGGGTTCTCTTGAAGAAATAATGTGGGGATCTCTTACCTTCTGAGTTAAATCTTGGGATAATTTATGTTTTTGGTTTTTACACTGGTAAACCCAACTTCAACTGGATATTTATACTCCCTTCAGTGCACATTATAGGATACACCCCTAACTCACTAATGTAATTCCCTTCACCCAGGGGCTGTTATGTGATGTTAATCTTTATTGTTAATTTGACTGGGTTTAGAATCACTGTGGAAATGGGGTGTTTCCAGTAAGGTTTAAGGTAGGCAAGAAGACTCTCTGAATAAAAAAGAGAATGCAGCTGAGGGCCAGCACTCAGCTCTGCTTTTTGACTGGGTGCAAATGTGACCAGCTGCCTCACGCTCCTACCCCATACATTCCCTGCCGTGATGGCCTGTATGCCTTCTTAAGCCATGAGCCAAAATAAACCCTTCCCAAAGTCACTTTTGTCAAGTATTGTGTCAGCACTGAGAAAATCAATACATGCTGTCAGGTTTAAATGAAATTAATGTATATGCAGTATAATCAATAATTATTCCTGTTTTCCTTCATGAATTACATCATACTGCCCTTTCTGAAGGAAATATCTCCTCCTTCATTTCTACATGGAACCTTTCATACCAGTTGCCTTTCATACCCAGTTAATGTCAATTGTCACTTCCCTTTAACAGTTTTGCTTCTAGGTATCTATTCTAGTAAAATACTTGTTTAAATACACAAAGTACACAGGAACAATGATAATTATTGGAGGACTTTATAATACCTGAAACTAAAATGTTCAATGAGTGATTGGTTAATAAAATGTAGTACATCTGTAGAATATATGCAGCCTTAAAAGGCTGAGTACCTATGAGAGACAAAACTATACTGCACACACACACACACACACACACACACACACACACACACACACAGGAACTTTATCTATAGCCATAGAAAAATGTTTAAAAGGGTTTTTACCAAACTGTATTTGAGAAGAAGAGTGGAATAGGGAGATATTTCAGAGATTGTGTCTGTGCTTTTTTGGTTTGTTTCAGTGAGAATACAATTATGTAATATTTGCATAACTTTTGAGATGAATAACACCACCTTTCTCTAGCATAGTTTCCAACTCGGGATCACTGGCTCTTTCCGTTGCAATCTCACTGTGAATAATGACTGTTCACTGCATGTCTCTCCTCTGCGCATCCCCCCCAAAATGGTGAACGCTGCAGAGGCTGTATCTCCAGCAGGAGGCCTGGCAGATTGGTCGCTTAGTAACAGTTGCTCCGTAAGGTAAAGGAAAACAACAATCTGCACAGAAAAGTCCATCTACAGTAACAAAAGATGTTAGGAAAGGCGGACACGCACGCACGCACGCATGCACATACACGGACGGACGGACGGGCGCACTAGAATGCGGGGCCCCTGCATCTGGGTCCTCCAATGAAAATTGACGGTAGGGAAGAGGCAGTATATAAAGGGCGGAGAGGCGGGGGAAGCAAAACAAACAAACAAACAAACAAAAAATTAAAAAAACCAGAAGGGTGGGAGGAGGTGCGGGAAAGATACTGACGCCCAGCACTGACCTCTAGACCCAACCCTTCAATAACCACCTTCACTTCCCTATCATCCGCTTCTGCACCTGTAAAATCAAGTGGAGGTCGGGAAATATGTTCCTAGTTACATTGTAACTCGGGAAGTGGGGGTTGGGAGGCTGTTTTATGGAACGACGAACTCTGCCCTCTGGTGGGTTTACAAGAGTAATTTGCAAGGCTGGATTTGTCTAACTGCTGAGCAGCGAATGGTCATCTTGCCTCCTTTTCGGCTCAAACAAGCACCATTTATTCCCATTATAAATGCTCTTCACATGCGCACCCTGGTGCCTTGTTTACCCTTTAGCTGCATTCACTAGAGCAACTCCAACGCCAGGGTTTCGAAGGGTAAAAAGGAGCAAAAACTGCAGGTGGCAGCTGTCTACTACCTACTAGCCAAGCATAGCGAACATCATTTTTATTCATAGCTGGAAGCGTAAAGAAACATGCATCCTCAATGCCACCTCTCTCTGGGATCCGAAATTAGGCGTCCTCCCTTTCCCGGGGATCAAGCTCACCGCCAACTGCAGTCTCCACCGACCTGAGACCCACACCGCGCACAGCGCAGAACACTGGCAGCATCGCTGGCCCACACAGGCTGCCGCTCCCACTTTATCCTGTCTTCTTCCTGCTCCTCTAGCCCCAGGCGCGCTGCTCCAGGCTCTTGAGCGCCCTCCAGCCAGCACTGGCAGAACAGGGTACTGCCCCACGGAGTTAATTTTGCACATATCTAACCATGGTTTTGTCAGGGTTAACTTCAACAGTTTTATAGCGTTAGCTTCCCATTGCTACAAATAACCACAGATATTTACTCATTTATTGCCTTTCATGTCTTCTCGTTCTGCCTCACGGCTTGGCTCATGGTCCTCCTCTATCAGTCTTCAAAGCCAGCATCTCAGCATCTCCAAATCTGATCCTCCTGTCTTCTTGATTTAAAGACCTTTACTTTCAGATCACTGAAATGATCCAAGCCTGCTTCCCCATTTACAGATCTTTAGTATGTAATAACTCTTGCAAAGTCCCCTTTGCAAGGTAAAGCAGCACATTACAGCTTCCAGGAATGAGAATTAAGCTTTCCGAATTAAGCTTCTTATTAGCTTAAGTTTAGTTTCAATTTGGTTCCCAAGCATAATGAAAGCTATATTGAACTGAAATTTATTCAGTTAAAAAATTAACATTAAACTGGGTGTGGTGGCACACACCTTTAATCCCAGCACTTGGAGGGCAGAGGCAGGTGGATCTTTGTGAGTTCAAGGCCAGCCTGGTCTACAGATTGAGTTCCAGGCCAGCTGGAGATACAGGGAGACCCTGTCTCAAAAAGACAGAAAAAAATTAACATATTAATTCAAAGTGACATATTTAAAATATGGCTAAGGAACAATTTCATTTGAAATTATTCAGTTTTCAATAATTCAGTATTTTTATTGTGTGTGCATAGTATGTTGTGTTGTGTGTAGTGTATGCATATACTTGTTAGTGCATGTGTGCTGGCCAGAGGTTGATGTTGGGTCTTTTCTCAATCACTATCTACCCTTATTTATTTATTTACTTATTTTTTATTTGTTTATTTTGTTTGGTTTGGTTTTCTGAAACAAGGTCTCCCTGTAGCCCCAGCTGGCCTGGAACTGGCTTTGTAGACCAAGCTTGCCTCCTGAGTGCTGAGATTAAAGGCATGCACCATCATGCCTGGCTCTTACTTTTATTTTTTGAGACAGGGTATCTCACTGAACTGGAGGCTCATCAATTTGGCTAGGCTGGCTGGCTGGCCACTGAGCTACAGGGCCAGTCTGTCTTTGTACCCCTACACACTTCCCCCAGCATGCGAGTTAGAGACCAGGCACTGCTTTTTACATGGTGCTAGGGGTCTGAAAGAACTTCACCTACTGAGATATCTCCCCAGATTCAATAGTTAATAAACCACATCAAATTTCTTTGCTAATGACATTATTTGTAACTGAGTTTTTCCAAATCATTTACTGTTGTGTATGCCATTGGGGGTGAACATGCATGTGCCCCAGTGCATATAATAGAGGTTAGAGGACAACTTTGTGGAGTCAGTTCTCTCTTGGTCATGCTAAGGGCATATATGTCAGAAATGAAGGTAGCCTTGGAATTTGTCATGTCTAAGAAAAACAACTATTGAATGATTGCAGAATTCCTCAACTTACTGTTATTAGAAAGAGAATCTATATTTCCATTTCAGATCTTCTCACCTTTACAGTACTTTAGGGGCTAGAGAGATGGCTCAGGAAGAGCACGGGATTGGTTGTCAGCACCCACTTGACAACTAATCTGGCCTCTGCCAGCATTGCACACATGTGGTGCACTTACATGCATCCACATAAAATAAAACATGCATACACGTAAAATAAAACTTTGATAAAAAATTTAAATACTACAAAAACGTTTCCTAACGCAATTTAGGATGGAAATATTTTAGATTTGTCTATTTGCATATCTTCTTTTCCACATTTTATTTCAAATTCAATATTGACATATAAAAACTTTTTATTTATGAAAGACACAGTTTTGATTTTGAAATTGCATCAGAACACAAACTGTTCTTATTGCTGCAACATTTTCTTTTCTTGCTGGGAGATAATTATCTCCTACCCTAAAAGATAATTATGCAGCACAGTGACCAGTGTATTTGTACTCAACTACATTTGTCAAATGAGTAAGTACTATAAATACAATATACAGGAATAGCTACCTCGGCAAACGCCGAGTTTCCACACGGAAATAAGAGAAATTAGAATTTAAAGGCAAAAAAGTTAGTTTGGGGTACTTTACTGGAATCTTTAAATTTCTAACCCAACGCCCTATCACAGGCCACAAAAAAAGTGAAAGACTGAGACGTCTATCGACTAATACCGACGTTTGCAAAACAATATTGTCAAACCAACTATTTTTACTCAACAAGGAAGGTGTACATTACTGTGACATGTGCTTGGACTCTGAAGTATAGGTACAAGTCAAGAATCGTGCCGTGTAGTTCAAAAGTGAGAACTGCATGTTTCAGAATAGTAACGAAAACCGCAAAATCATACATGGTAAAGATCAGAGTTCAGAAAGGGTGAGAGAAGAACGTCGGGGGCGACCGAGAAGGCGCCCAGCAAATAAGCTCAGGCCGGAAAGACCAAGGCGGTGCACTGATCCTCCACCAGACAACCCCAGACCCCGTGAGCGCGCAGGACGTGGGCGCGGCGCTGGCTGGCCCCGCCCCTCTCTTTCCGGCCTGTGCCCCGGGTAAGGACATCCCAAACTGGCTGTGGACGCCAGGCCCCGCCGCAAGCCCGCCCTAGACCTCCCACTCGGTGGGACACCAGGCTCCACCTCCTTCCTAGGGCCCAGCCCCGCCTCGAGATCACCCCCAACATCAGGCCCCCCTCCCGCCTGCGGCGGACAGCAGGCCCCGCCCCGAGCGCCAGCCGCCTTCTCAGGGTTGCCCGCTGCGCAGGCGCAGAAGCTTCTAGGTGTAGCTGCGGCGGGTGAGTCGGGACCGCGGCGGTGGGGTCACTTATACCTTAGTGTCTCCCTTTGCGGGTGGCCTTTCCTGGAAGAAAGACTTCCCTCGCCCCTTCGCCTTTCGGTTTCGCGGAGGCGCCCGGTGGACCCGGTGCCGAGTTTGGGCGACGGCGGGCGGAGCTGGGGTTCGGGCGGTAGCCGGGCGGAGTCCCTGCTTCCCGGTGACCTAGGCGCTACACTGTGACCCGTGGCCGGTCGTCGCCTCGCAGGCTCTGCTCGCAGCTTGTTTCTCCGCTAAGTTGGCGTGCATCAGTGACGGAGGAAGCGAGTTTAACCTTGGCTTCCTGGTAGTAGCGAGGTTTAGGGGTGCTGCCTGAACCCACATCCCCACCCAACACTTCTGGAAGTCGCTTAACCACCCTCCACTTCCAAGTGTAAAACGAGGAAGATGATAATGGCCTATCATAAAGTAGCTGTGAAAATCTAAGTAGGTTAATGCCTGTGAAGTGCTTAGGGAAGCCCAAGTGCTGTTCGGCTTTTTGAGGCCAGGTATCTTTAATAGGTTTCCCCTTTTTTTCACTCTGGAAAATGGCACCCCAAAATGTTCTGAATAGAGAAAGCTTGTGTAGCCTGCTAAGAAAGTAAGTTAGCTGTGCATACTGTGTTACATACAGAAAATACAAGTGCTAGGTAATGCTTAAGTTAAAAACTGGTTTGGACCTGTCAGATGGCTCAGATGGTTCCATCCTCAGGGACTCAGGGTGGAAGGAGAGATCAACTCTCTGACCCCCACACGCAGAACGAGGCATGTGCGGGTTCATACAAGTAAAATAAATTAATTTTAAAAAAACCCTAAAGTTTGATATTTGGAAAGCCACATGAGAAAAATGGCCAGAACATACTTGCCTGAAAAGTTAACATAGCAGGCCTGAGACCTCTGTAATTTGAAGGGTTCCCGGCAAGACTGGCTCTTACATCTCAGGAAACTTGGGTTTGCAGGAGTGTGCTGTTTGACCCACCTGGGAGACAGGGCCTTAGAAAGTTCTGCATGATTACTTCAGATTCAGCCAGTTCCTCTTCCCATTGCGATCAGGTTGTATATTCATACAAAATGCTCTACAAAATGTTGGCCATGAGTGCAAATACATGCTGAGCCCTGTGAATCCTTTTGCTGTCTCCCCAGCAAGAGCGGGAAGAGAGTCTTGGAGATTTCCAGATGCAATTTTGATAATAGAAAGTGTTTGAATATCCAACAGTTGGATTTTTTTAATCTCTTTTTCCTCATGTAGAAGTTGGAAAAGAAAGTTGTATGGAATATTATGGGTTACTGTATCAAATGATTTTTAAAAATATTTGTTTTTTTTTTTCTGTGTATGCGTGTATTGCCTCCATGTAGGTAAGTGCACCCATGTCGTGCAATGCCCATGGAGGACAGAAGAGGCTGTCATATCCCCTGGGACTGGGGTTGCAGACAGTTGTTAGCTACCATGTGGGTGCTAGGATTAGAACCCAGGTCTTCTGCGAGAACAGCCAGTGTTCTTAACCACTGAGCCATCTCTCCAGCCCCTCAATTGATTATTTTTAGATATATTACATCCGTCAGAAATATGATTAGAAATTGCTTCTACATCACCAAGAGAAGTTTGAATCAACGTTTTTGAAAAAAAAAGGCACAGGTTGCTTACAAATTCAAAGTCAAGTGGGTGGTTCAGTGTATTCTGCTAGCTGTATAATCTGTATGTTGACCCTCAACTTCATCAAGGGTTTATCTGTTATAAGGGAGAAATAGGACTATTTTTCATGGGCTATTTTTCCTGGATTTTGTTAATAATGCCTGTTTCTCCCCAGGATATCAAATTAAAATTAATGGTGACAGGTTTGTAAATTTAGGGGTTGAAAGACCAGATTTGCCATCTGAGTATATCTTTTTCTTCCATAAAGACTAGATAAGTGGGGAGGTAGAAGAGTTGAAAATTAAGGAGAGTACAAAGGGTTTGAAATGGCTGTGAAAAGTGCACAGAAGTTGACCAGAAAGTGTGGTAGGTTAGGTTAGGGAAGACCCACTACACTTTTAAGATTCTATGCATCTATGGAGAAAATGATGAATTGGGTTCATTGACATTGGATTCAACCAGATGGGTGATGTAGTGATTAAGACTGTGCAGAAATATGCAGATGACCCTGTTTTTTGGTTAGATTCTGTACCTGCCCTGACTTACTTGAAGTTCAGTGTAACTGTGTGACTTTTTTGGCCAGCAGAATATGAGCAGATGCAATAGTTGCCTCCAGGTAAAGCTTTAAGTACCAGCTCTGTATTTGTATCGTGCTCCTTTTCTGAGATGTGCTAGCATGGACGCAACAGAATAGGAGTGACTAATCAAGTTTGGGTTCAGAGAAGGACATTTGTGAGATAGAACTAAAGGGTTAGTAGATGAGGAAGTTTAGAGGAGAAGGTGGAGATCAAATTGAGGAATTCAGACTTTATACATTTCTGTATCCTGAATTAAATCTGTCATTTGTTGTAACAATTCAGCAATGGTGGTTTTTAGACTTAAAGGAACAGTTGTTGACTGGAATATACTTCAGTGATACATCATATGCTTGGCATGCATTAGATCTTGGGTTTCATTCCCAGCACTACCAAAAACAAGCAAACCAAGCAAAAACAAAACAAAAAACTGTAAAATAGTAAAGTTGAAAGCTCTCTTATTTAAAGCATAGAATGAATAAATTAAGATTCAAGATTTAATACTGAATTGAAAGATCTATTACTTTGATCTTTGAAAAGCAAACAACCTGGATCTGGAGAGATGGCTCAGCAATTAAGAACACTGGTTATTCTTGCAGAAGACCCGAGTTTGAATCCTAGCACCCACAGGGCAGCTAACAACTGTCCATAACTCCAGTCCCGGGGATAACAACAGCCTCTTCTGAGCTCCATGGGCATTACACAACATGGGTGCATTTACCTACATGCAGGCACAGCACACATACACATAAAATAAAATTTTAAAAATGTCTTAGTCAAGGTAAAGGTTATAAAAATTTAAATTAAAAGATACTTAATAGACTAGTGAGATGGCTGGACAAACATACTGCTCTTGCCGTTTGGTTCCCAGAGTTCAATTCCCAGCACACAAATCAGGAGGCTCACAAAACTCCTATAATTCCAGACCCAAGGGGAATCTGAAGGTACCCAGACTCAGGTGTGCCTATCCCCTTCCACACACATACACATAATTTTAAAAACTCTTAAGAAAAAGACAGGAAAGCAGTATAAAGAAATTATAACTGTTAAAGAAATACAAATAATGACTGACTCTTTATCTAAAAAAAAAACTAGCCGGGTGTGGTGGTGCATGCCTTTAATCCTAGCACTCAGGAGGCAGAGGCAGGTGGATGTCTGTGAAATTGAGGTCAGCCTGTTCTACGTAGGGAATTCCAGGCCAGCTGGAAGACCCTGACTCAAAAAAAATTTTTTTTTCTATCAGTAGTCCACTAGGTAGTACAGTAACTAGAGTCTTTAAAACTGCTTGGCTTGGTTTACAGTTTGTATCCCTGGTGCATTGTCATTGCTGTCAGCACAGATGATAGGGCAAGGGAAGAACATATTATCAGAAACAGCACTTGGTTCCTTGATGAAAACTTTTCATTCTGAGACATTGTATATGCAGGGGGCATGTCTTAGTTTGTAAACCATAGACTGAGTGGCTTGAACAACAAACATTGGTCAGGAAGGCTGGGAAGTCCAAGCTCAAGGTGCTGGGAGATCTAGTCTGTAATGAGGGCAAGGTGGACCCCAATTTAAAAAGATCTATTTGTCTTGGCCATCTTCTTGATAAAACCACATAAATGCAAGGTTAGCTCTCTGACCTGTTCTTGTCAGAGCATGAATTAGGCTCATGAGGGATTTATCATCTAGGTCATTGCCTCTCAAATGTTCTATCTCCAAGTGCTATCACATTGTGGATTAGATTCAGCGTAGGAATTTTGAGGGGCTTGTGGGAGAAAAATAGTCTGTAACAGAGTAGTTAGAATGTGCCATTTGTGTATTGACTTTTTTTTTTTTTTTTTTTTTGGCCAGTGCTGGCGATAGGACCCAGGGCCTCATGCATGCCAGGCAGGTGCTCTACCACCAAGCTATACCCTCAGCCTTGTTTATTGCTTTTAAGGTTTAGTTCAGCTGATTTAGTTCCCTTCATTTTTTTTCTTTGTTGATTTATTAGACCAATCTAGTTTTGGTATGCATTATGTAAAATATCTAAAAGTTTAACTTTGAATATTGTTATTCTTCACCTTTTTCAGTGATTAACAGATGAGGGTAAAAGATCCATCCAGAGATTTACCTGAGAAAGACAAAAGAAATCAAAGACCATCAGCACCTCACGATGAAGACTCTTCAGATGACATTGCTGGTAAATTGTGATGTCTAGCATCTCAGATGCTGTTGGGGAAAAGAAATAATAACAGATACTTTTTAAATGATAAAATTTAATGCTTTATTATTACCACTTTCTATCTAAATTTGAGAATTAGCTTGTTTAGTTTCCCAACCCCATTAAAAAACAAACCACCTTTGTTGGCATATTTATTGGGATTTTGTCTAGGCTATAAATAAACTTAAATTGTAGTACTGTTCTTTTTATGTTTTTATATTTCCTCATAGCTTATTAAAAATGAAGTCTTGAGCTGGAAATGGCAGTGCCTTTAATTCCAGTACTTGTGAGGCACTGGCAGGTAGAACTCTGTAAGATGAAGGGTCAGCTGGTCTACATAGCAAGTTTCAGGCTAACTGTGGCCACAGGGAGACCCTGTCTCAATATATAAATAAATGATTGATAGATAGATAGATAGATAGATAGATAGATAGATAGATAGATGATAGATAAATAAATAGATAAATAAAATCAAGTCTCTGACTTCAGAACTTGCTCTGTTCTGCTTGCCTCCCTCCTTTGCTCTTCTCTTCTTCCCTCCCTCCCTCCCTTCTTTCCTTTTTGTGGTGATGGGATTGAACCCAAGGGCCTCACATGTGCTAGCTAAGAACTCTGCCACACTGAGTCATGTACTCAGCCCGAAGAACTTATGTTTCTTTAAAGTGAGCTTGAAGTCCTTGTTTTCTGTTTCTTTTTTTTTTCCAATATATTTATTTTATTTTATTTTATTTTATTTTATTTTATTTTATTTTATTTTATTTTATTTTATGTGTATGAGTGTATTGCCTGCATGTGTACCTGTGGGTACCTGTGTTGTATAATGCCCTCAGAGGTCAGAGAGGGCATTGGAGTCCCCTGGTACTGGAGTTACAGAGGCGCTGTTAGTTGCCATGTGGGTGCTGAGAACTGAACCTGGGTCCTCTGCAAGAGCAGCCAGTGCTCGTAACCATTGAGCCATCTTCCCAATTCCTGTTTTCTGTTCTTAATTGCCTTTTAATAATTTCTTAGAGGAGAGAAGGGAACTGTTAGCTTTTTATCATCTTCACAATTGGTAAAGTGTTTTTTTTTTTTCTTTTTGAGACAGGGTCTCCCTGTAGCCCAGCTGTCCTGGAACTCACTATGTAGACCAGGCTGGCCTT